CCATCCATAGCACTGTCCACTTGTGGTCAGTCCTATACAGTGACCCAAACCATAGGCTATTTTCAACAGTCCTTTACAAGAAAGCCTTTCATTCAGTTGTGGTCTCTCGAAGTGGACATCACTTCCCACTCCCAGACCTAGTCGTCCGTAACAATTAGTCCCAAAACAGTAGACCTCGTCATAGATGGTCACGACTATCACATCACTGCCATCTGATCCCAAGACAGCCAATAGTTTAATGTTAGTCGAAGAGATTGTGTGGTGACTGTCATCACTGCCATGAGTGGTGTTGTCGAGTGGACACAACTGCGGGAACCGTTGGATGACATCTAAACTATCCATTGATTAGTCTTTCAATCAAATGATTTGCAAATAAATCTCAAAAACAATCTCAAAGTCATATTCACTGAAAGTTCACGATTTGTGTAATATTTGGTGAGTATTGCCATAAAAACAGTCATAAAAGGTACCAAAATTTATTAGGAATCTCAACATAATTGTTCCCTTTAAATATAAATTGATCTAAACAAATTTGCAAATATATTTGGCGCTTATTTTAATTAATAATTATAAATGTCACTTATATAACTTTAATTTAAAATATGTTTTACTAATATTAAAATTACAATTAAGAATATAATCAATATAAATGTTTAAAAAATGAAATTAAATTGAATTAAAATATTATGACTTTAGGTATTTATATTTTAAAATCTTATTACCAGTAAATACATGAACAGTATAGCACAGGTAGCGGTAATTAGAAAATATGTTTCGTTTATATAATTTACATATATTTTGCTAAGTATTGCAAACACATGTCTTTAAGCTCCAGTTCCCCGTATTCTTTGGCCAACTTTAGCAGTTGAGTGCAGTTGCGGTCATTGACTTCGGGAGTGAGTCCATAGAAATACATGAGAAGTGATACAAATGTCTCATAAGAATAGCTCTTAATATGGATCTCATTCTCATTCATCAAATTCTGTTGACATTCTGTTTCCCAAAACTTCTTGTTTTGAATCTTAAGTATAGATTTGTGACAATAAATGAATTTATCGTTTATATGAAATCTTATGTTAGATTCCGAGGGATTATTAAACGCTTCCGTCAAATGCTTTTGAAATCGTCTGAAAATAAATATTAAAACAATAAAATGCACTCAAATAACAGTATTTAATACATTTACCGCAAAATTGGATCAATACTGGAACCACTACTCATCGACTCAACAAATGAAGTATTATTAACACTTTCAGTGATAGCCATTCCCAGACATTGATTCTTAGGAATGGTAGCGTTTAAATCCCTATAAAATCANGACATTCTGTTTCCCAAAACTTCTTGTTTTGAATCTTAAGTATAGATTTGTGACAATAAATGAATTTATCGTTTATATGAAATCTTATGTTAGATTCCGAGGGATTATTAAACGCTTCCGTCAAATGCTTTTGAAATCGTCTGAAAATAAATATTAAAACAATAAAATGCACTCAAATAACAGTATTTAATACATTTACCGCAAAATTGGATCAATACTGGAACCACTACTCATCGACTCAACAAATGAAGTATTATTAACACTTTCAGTGATAGCCATTCCCAGACATTGATTCTTAGGAATGGTAGCGTTTAAATCCCTATAAAATCATGTTTTTTAGTACCGGTATTACAGTTACGGTATTCTAATTGCATTCATTTAATACCCAATTGTCATAAATACTATGTTTGTACCGGTATTACTATTAATAAGTAATTTGTACTGCATTTGAAATCAAAAATGTTAATATAAATAAAAAATTGTTTTGCAAAGCACTTGAATAGAAACATTTCGCTCACTTTAAAGAACTTAAACACAAATTAATAGTTAGTTAACCATTAAGTGATGCCATAGTATGCTAAACGCGGTGAACAAGCGAACTCTCATTTTTGATGGCATTTGCATTCGTATATTACATACGATTTGGATGATCAGGATATTCACACACACCATACATGATACAAAAATATGCTTTTTAATCCGATTATATAATGATAATGTTAGGGTTAATCACACAACCCTTTTACAGTTAGCATACGATTTAAATAAATGTGAATTATTATTGAAAAGTTGAAATAGAAATTTTTATTTTTAAAACTTATCATAGAGTCAAATAAAAGACAAGTACAGTACATACTGTATTAGTTTTATATTACAGTATAATAGATATTATACATAATTATTAGTTCATAATTTTACATATCTTTATCCAAATACTGATCGCATTAATTGTTTGGACAGGTCTTCAGGCATTGTGTCAAATGAATCCAATTTACAAATGTCTTTGAAATTGTTTTTTGCAAATTCAACGCAACTCTTCTCCAAATCAATGGACTTCTCATTCACTGCTCTCTCATAGAGACTACAGATGTTTGACAAGTCTATCACCACTTCTTCACTCATTCTCTGTTCACACATCTCCTGAAGAATGGATTCGGAGTAAAGTGTGGCCAACTTTGAGACACCATTTCTGTTACTGTCATTGATATCTGGATTCATTCCATACAAGAACTGCAGGAATGTATAGAAAGCCTCATAAGAATAGTCTTTAATACGGATCTCATTATTATTGGATTTTGACTTATTTTTAGCCAAATATTTATCGCATGTTTTCCACAACTGTTTGTTTCGGATTTGAATTATAGATTTGTGACAATAAATCCTATTATTATATCTTTAATACGGATCTCATTATTATTGGATTTTGACTTATTTTTAGCCAAATATTTATCGCATGTTTTCCACAACTGTTTGTTTCGGATTTGAATTATAGATTTGTGACAATAAATCCTATTATTATTATCATTGAACACAAACACCAAATCATAATTTGATTTATTGTCAAAAGCATTGACTAATTGTTTCAGAAATACTTTCAGTGAAATACTATGATTATCGGTCCCAACAGATCCGGATGTCGATAGGGGTTCACAGGTATTGGTGTTGTTATTATCCATCAAATTGTGGTCACAGTTCAATACCTTGACATCTGATCCAATTGTCTTACAATAGTTGATACTGTCTTTGAAGTGATTTGCCACTAACGACACTCCCTTTCCCACACAATGGCCACCAATTGATGTCTTGTTTGTCATCAAATCAGTTCCGTTCGCTTCGGGAAAGACAATCGTTTCGTATGTCTTATTAATGCAACAATAATTGGCGTAAATATCGTAAACGGTATGACTGGCCATCGACTCGGGAACGATACGGGGCGTGAAGAACCCAACCATTCCCCACACGTAGTACTCATTATGAACGGACACCCCAATGGACAGCGTGTGGTCGTAATGGACGACAATGTCTTTGAAACGCATTTCCGGAGCGATGAGCACTGGCGTCGACTGATTGCGTTGAGTGCCGTTACCTATCTGTCCCCAGTTATTGCCGCCCAATGCGTACATATAGCCATCGGTGGACAGTAGGAGCGTGTGATTGGGTCCGCACACGGCTTTCCGGATCGCCACTCCCTCTAACCCGTCGAGCGGTTCCATCGCGAAGCAAACGGGAGTATCGCCGACACGGATGTCGTCCACCCGTTCGCCACACTGTCCGCTGTCGTTGAGTCCCC